GCCTAAACAAATGGCTAGCCAGGCTCAATGCAGAGCAAGGAGGAGTACAAAACCAAGCTTCAGCTCTCTTCCACATACAAATCCTAATTTGTTTCTGAAACAAATGGCTATGCTAGCACTGTCAGACTTGCCAGGCACTTGAGGGAGTTCCAGGTCCAAGAAAGTGTATGCTCCATGGTGATTTTCTATGAAGGCATTAAAATGACATTTCAAACTCACTCTTCCACTCCTCCAATCATGATTACTAAAAAAAAAAATCTTATCTAAAGAATCAGGCCAAATTTCCAAGGCATCTCACACCAAGATTCCCCAGCTTGCCCAGACACTCGAGTCCCACATAATTACCCAGTGCTGAACCATTTTTCCAGAGCTGGATTTGAGCTATGCTTAACCAAAGAGACACTGTCATATATAGCAATGGTTATGGAATCAACAAGCTCCTTACAACTGATGAATGTTGTTCATCTTATCAATATTTGCCAAAGGCTTAGCCCTATTATTTAGTTTTATAGACAGATGTGACATTCTGCAAGTAACAGTTTAACAGTCTATTTTCTGAGGCCTCTATGCAGTAAGGAGAGCTCTGCCTGCTAATCATATATAAATATGCCTTACTTCAGTAGTGTTTACTAGCAAAGAACATCCAATTGAATACTTTGAATAAAAAAAACACAACACAAATACACTGTTTTTTCCTGATACTGCTTGTTGCTGCAAGACAAGACAGTAAGAGAAGTGCTGACACCTACAGGGCAAGACATTTGTGTGTCCAGAAACCTCAATCCATGCATCTATTTTGAAGTTCTGTCACAGTTCTGCTTGAAATTGTTGAGTAGGTTTTTTGGATGGTTGGGAGGGTAGAAGAAAAGCTAAGTACGGAGACTGGGAGGTCAGACATACAGGACATAAACACATAACGTAAAGAGACAATGATTAAACAAATTAGGTCTCTGATGATTTGCAGGAATCCAACATCAGTATTCACTAAACCTGTCTCAGCTAATGCCTGCCTCATCCTGTTCACACAGTGATACTTTTGATCCACTTCTGTGAAGCTGGGCAGAACCACTTCCCAAAAGAATCCAAGATACAAGGAGTTACCTGCATCCCTGAAGCCTGTGTTACTAAAGGCAGGAATTAAAGTTGCATGACCTGATCACATCATGCAACATCTTTCATCTCTGGGTGAAGAAGATGGAACCATGAGCTGAATACATCAGGGCAGTCCCAGAAGTACTTCACATCTCCAAGCCCAGCCCAATTCCTAAAGTTTGCCCAGTCCCAGCTCACCAGAAGGCCCATTTCCAAAAGGCATCTTGTAGCAAGTAGTTCCTAAGCAAGTGATCTTGGTATCAGTCACTCAAAGCTTTCTTAAAGCAGCAAAAAACTTGGGTTTGTTCCAGAAGGTGGGAGGATTAGTGTTAGCTTGAAGTGCTAAAACCAGACACTGTGGTTCAAAAGGAGCCTTAAGGTCTATCACAATGACAACACTAGAGGCCTGCATTTGGAGTGTTCAAGTGGAACAAAAGGCCTTCGGGTAGGGAAAAGAATATATATATGTCCTGTCTCTTCACTTAAAGTTCCTTATAAATTATTTGTGAAATGATTCCTGGGGAACAAGCTCAGAGATAGAGGTAATCTGATTATTTATAAATTGCTGTAGTAACATAAAAAAGGGGCATAGTTATATATATATATATATATGTTTACATAAAAATTCAAGAAAATCTGACATAGAATAAAGGAAGGTTTAAATCCAAGAAGGAGGTTATTAGATTTCTGTCAATATCTAGGTCTGTATTTCTTCTTATTGCAGTAACAGTCAAGACTCTCCGCAGATAAGTGCTAAAATGAATCCTTGACCTGGATTACTTTAAAAAACAAACAAATTACAGTTTTTGTTTCATTTCTTCCAAGTTCCCAGTCAAAAATGTCTTTAGCCAAAGAAAACAGGCAAGACACCACAAGCATCTCCAAATACCCAGTATCAAACACTACAGGTTTAGATTGTGGCTGATGAGGAGACAGAGCATTCACCATCCTTTTGTGCTTTCCCTTCTCCTAAGAGGCTAAGCATATGGCAGAGAGAAGAGCAAAATCAAGAAGTTTCTATTGATAAAATGGCATCTCTGCAGAATTGCCTGCATAGGGGAAAAAGATACTTTGCTGACATTTTGTAGTCTTGAGCACTACAGTGACAAGAATGACATTTTAGAGCTGTGCCCAAGAAAACTACTGCGTGTGAAGGATTCTGCACATGGTTTGACCTACACCACAGTTTATTTGTAAACAATTTTTACAAGTGCCAATAATTTAATTGAACACAGACTTTGTACAATTCAATGTATAATATTAACAATGTCCCACTAGAAGAGTGCAACTGTATTCGGTTACAGCCATACTTGAAAACCTTCAAAATACAAACCACTTTGAACACTGAACAAGAACAGAACATTTGAGAACAAGGGTAGAAAAAAAGAACTGTGAACTAGTAAGTCATGATCAAAAAAACCTGAAAACAAACATAGCACACTTTCTAGTTGGCTCCTGAACATCTTCAGGTACATCCATCTAGAATGAATACTACTTGGGCTGTGCCAGAGCACGGAGCCAACCTCTCTTCTGCAAAATAAAGATCTCAAAGACAGAAACTTAAAACAACTTTGCAATGTGTAACACGTGATTCTTCCCCACTGTCAAGAAAACTACCTGAAGAAAATAAATGTATTTAATTTGTCTTTATTTGACATACAATATAAAATAGAATCTTTTGGTATGAAGATCTTTGAGATCTTACTTTTACCCCACATTTGAAAAAAAAGTACTTTGAGTAAAGCCTCTGGACCATCCCAAGCACTGGAGCTGTAGTCAAGTTTCAGGTATTCTATGGACTTCTTTGGTTGCAATCTCTTCAGTAAATCTCATATATCCAGACTTGAACATTTAAGCTCCTAGTGTTGAAGCACCTGGAGTGCCTTGAGTTCTAAAAAACTGCAACCTATCTGTAATTCTCACCATTAACTGCAAGATTTATGGATATTAAACTCTGGACAGACTACTTTTATTTAGAAACTTTAGACAACCTAATAACAAAGGGCATCCTTCACTTAGTAACACTGAAGAAATGCAGCAGGAACAAGAAAATTTTATCCATTTTCAAACTTCCATACAACTTGCACTATCACCACTTCGCATACTATTATAGATAGTACATGGCAAAACTCAATACAGTACACCAAGCTAGCTCTTCCCCTACAGCTCAATGTAGCACTTGAAGTAACACCTATAGTACTGAAAAAGAAAGCCATTGCCTAATGCTTAGTTCCTCTACAGTGCTAGATATTGGCTCAATATCCACATAATTCCCACAGTAAATGTTTCCTCTGCCATACCTAGCAGATTGACATCCAATTCCTCTTGAAGTTCTTTTGAAGCCAATAAGGCAACTTAAAAAAAAAACACAACACACTATGGAGAGTATACACATCCAGTACAAAAGTCACTGTAATGTAAATGATCAACTTTATATGGATAAACTAGTACTGTAACATATGCAGAATACTAAGTTCAGCTGCTGTTGATAAAAAAAACAAAATGTAAGGAAGCAGCACTGAGCAAACTGAAGTACTAAATTCCTATCGTTTTCTCAGAGTGCAAGTCCTATACAGTTTAGGAATGTATATAAAGCAAAGAGGAAAAAAAGAAAAATGGAATTTTCACAGTTGTAACTGAAGCCACTGCATTATCCTATCACAGCATGTTTGTGCTTTACAAACTTCTGCCATGTTTTATTCTTACGGCCACACAGATCTGGATAAAAAAACAAATGTTGCCATTTTTCTTCTTGCTGTTGTCCAGCACAATCTATGCCACAGCTTCTCGCTCCACTATGTATTGTAGGGTAGTAATGAGAGGGTAGTAAAGTCTCATCTTTAATTATGACCATTTAAACCAAGGCAATTCCAGTAAAGAAGGGAGTTGGCAAAATACTTCAAATAGTTGGGTCAAAAGTCTTAACATTTTACATCTCTCATTCTCCTTGTGTGCTAAATGGGACAGACATTTTTAAGCTGGCAGGAAGTTGTCAATGCCCCATAGAAACAACGTGAAATCATGCCACAAAATCGTCTCCTACAAATAAAGCCAGAACATGATTTTAGATTAAAGAGCTGACTGTTAATGTTCGTCATTATCAGCAACTAATGGTTCAAGGAAATGAGCTTCCGAAGTCTCTGCCTACACATCATTTGCTGTCATCTTCCTTTGCTAATGACTGTCACATGAAAAACCCAAGAGTTCTATTATTTTAAACATTAATCAACAGGACAGATCTAGTTATCTACCTTAAACTCAAATTATGACATCAGTTGTCCTACAGCCTTAAGTCACCAGCAGGCCTTCAAGTCTGCACTAACACAACCTCCTGGAAGCATCAAATCTCTTTCCATTGTATTGATTTGTCAAGGCCTCAGTGTTAAGCTGAACTACAGAATTCAACAATTCTTAATGCCCCATATCACCATGATACTTTTTTTTTTCAACAGTTGGTATCACTGAGTTTTCAGAAGAGCCACATATCTTACCTTTATACAGAAAGATTCTCAGTAATACAGTACAAAACTAAACAGGATTTATGTCTGAGTAACGAACATAGAAAACTACTATTGCAATTTTGTGGTGACAGGATAGAAATTTAACAATCATCAGAAAGCCTAGAAAGGAAGTGTTTAGTTATAAAAGAAAGATTGTCTTAAGATAAAAACTGTGCTGACAGCTAAAAAGCTCTCTGTTGCAGCAAGATATGCAGTAATTAGTAACAAGTTCTAGACAGTTTAAGCACTTCCCCAATACTGCAACACAACACATTTTTGTAACACTACTTTTACACGAGTTATGCTGCAGCAGCAGTACACTTCTTAGTGGTTGGCACTAGGAATTAACCATAAGAGAAGAAAGGCATTTAGTGATCAATGCATGAGGATCCCTCTTTGACTTGCTCTTCAGGTGTGGTTGAAAAAAACTGAGCAAGGGGACCACCCGTTCCATTCAGATAATACACCTTCTTTGAACATGAGATTCTTGGCAGGAAGTGGAACACCCATATCTGAAGAAAGGGGCTGCAGAGGTGAACTTGAAGAACCAGCATCATGGAGCTGATCCAGTGTTGAAGTACCTTCCTAAAAGCAAACGGGGAAAAAAAAGTGTCTTAAAACAAAGACAAACAATGAAGGATTTAATAGGTAGAATATGACAAGGTAATCTAACCTGCAAATACACTTAGTGTTTCTGAAATGTGTTATTTTAATCCATTAAATACCAAACCATTATGAAAGTAAAACTAGAATGAACAAAGGGAAGCATGAAATAAACATACAGATGCCCCAGTTGCATCTCTGCATGATTTGGCATCCAAGAAAACTCCAGGGAAGCCTGAGGCTTAAAACTGAAGATCTAGCAATAAAATCCTGAAGATAACTATTGAACTGCTAATTGCCCCATACTTGCTAAGAGCTATGCATATATGCAGAGGCAATTACTTGACCATATTTTGAGTAGTTTGATTCCCCGTAAGTTTTGTTTTCTTAGCTTAAAAATCACTTCAGCACCTTCTTTCTTTCTCTCTATACAGATAATCAAGGAAAGTATCTCAGAGATACCATCCAAGAGATTAGGACAGCTCTCACTTGAGACAGTTTGACAGATAGTTTTAAGACTTCTAACCTACTGGGAATCTCCAATGTTCTCATGTGGAAGTAGTTGCAGGGTCACACCATCCATAACACTCACTGGTTAAGTATCCTGCAAGTTCCTTACCTTACTGAAAATACAGAATTTGAGATAAGTGTCATAAGACTTAAGCAGCTAAGCAGATTCCATGTCACATGTGGATGTGCCTTGCTAGCACTTCCATGCAGAATTGGAGCAGGGTGCAGACCTGATATTCCTCTGTGCTTGCTACACAAGGCCCCTATTCTCTGTCTTCTTATAAAATCCTCGCAGAGCAAGCAGTTTTAAATATTTGTACTCATTCAACACCAAGTTCTAGAGGATCTTAGGACACATACAAAAAGTAACTGGTATGAGATAGATATTAATGCATTTTATTTTTTCCTAAGTAGACAGATTTGACTTGAGGTACAGATAAAATCTCAAAATATTAGTATATCCATGATTTGCAGTGAATCTCCCTGATATATCTAAGAAGCAACCAAGTAAGCAGCCAAGTAAGAAGTGCTACAACAGAAGGAATGAAGAACAATTTTGCTATGCAGGTCCCATAAAAAAATAAATGAAACTAACTACACACAAGATGTAATTACAAAAGCTAAGATGTAAGTATTAAATGAGACTACAAACTGTATGGTGTAATAACTCACTTTTGACACCAGTAGAATCTGAGGTTGACAGTGCTCTTAATACAGTCACCATTTAAAGCAAAAATAAGTAAAACAAACCATGTATGATACCACACACCCAAGAACAGCAAGTTGGAGGGCAAAAAGATGACAGACCATACAGAATTATTTACATCTGAGTTATTGCTCCTTACCTGGAATGAATGAACAAAATTAAGGACCTGAAGAGACAGCTTTCTACTGGAATGCAAGAGTTTTTGAAGGCTGTCAAAAAGAAAAAAGAAGCAGCTCTATCAAAGGTGTGCAATTTTTTACTAGTGAATTACTAGCATAGTAACTTGCTCACAATTCTAATAGTATCAAACAACATGTGACAGAGTTACAGGCTTTCACAAAGAAAGCTTGATAATATTCTCATCAGTGAAGAAGTGCTTGACTTGACTCATTTGCTCGAGTCAAGTCAGCTAAATGCTGTTTTCCCTACCATTTACACTGCACTCAGGTGAAACTATTGCAATTGAAAAATGCTGGTTTAAATAAGACATAATATAGTGGACTTTTTCATGCTTCATCTTTATCTTGGACAGTCTGGTAACATGACTTTAGAAGGAACTTAGTGACACTGTTAAAAGCATATCCATTACTAAATTAAAACCCTTAAGCTACGTTCTCAAGAAGCCTTATTTTTGGTTAAAAAAAATCCCCCAAAAATGCAAAATCCAAACAAAACCAAAAATCCTATTGTTAAAAGAGCAACATTTCATAAAGTAAAGCTACAGTAAAAAGGAGAAGATCACTTGATCATAAGCTGTGACTAAACTTAGCCAGTAAGATACCACCCCAGAAAGGTTAGGAGGAGCAAAAAAAGCTTGTGCTAGGCTAGGAAAGGGGAATGAGTAGGAAGGCACACTATGTTTTTTCCTGATCTGTTCATAGACAGGTTCCTATAAAGAATTCAATTTCACCTTGCAGAAACTATAAAAACTTACCACAACTATGGACTACTAGATTGTACATTACAGCTGGTATCCATGAGCCAAAAAGCAACTACCTCTCACACTAGAATTAGGTACTCTATGACTTAGCTCTCTTTTGCTCTTATTTAATTGTAGGCATAATTTTTGCAGAAGATCTGGACATAAAACACACAACCTCTTAATCCTGTAGCTGATAAATTATAGCTCACCTCTCTTTTCTACATAATCCATGAGTGGCAATTTTTTTGCAGACTTTTTGATTCAACTCAGAGCTGAAGAGTGGAATGCCAAAGCATAATTCCAGGGGAACCCATTCCAGTTCTGTTGTGGGTACTATATAAAGAAAAACAAGAGACAAACAGACTTTAAGAGAAGACAACACAATAATATTGATCCCAGAATCAGGCATCTCAGATCAGGATCCATTGGATAGTTCATACTTTTAAGACAGTTCATCTAATAAACTGCTGAAAGACTTAAGGAAATCTGAATTTTAAGGAAGAACAGTTAGCATTGCACTTGTTCCAGAAAATAATAAAACAACGTGTTTAGATCCTTAAAAACAAGATCTCAGTGGACTTAAAACGTTTAGTAAAAGCCATCTGTTATGTTTTTACCTTCAAGGCTTTGCTTGACTGCAGAATCCATTGAGGTTTCTTCTATTACCATCTCAAATGATTCTGTGCTCCCATTTACATCAAAACCTGATCCTAGTTCAGCATCTCCTAAAGGCAAAGCAATTCTTAGGTAAACATGTAGATGAATATAAGCTGAGTTACCACCTGATATAGGGAATATGACACAAGTTTTTAATAAAGACCATACAGCTATAGAAATGGAGGAAGGGATATGGAGAAGCATAGGCCTGATTAATTTTTAGGACCAAAGAGTCACTTAGGGATCCTCAACACACTTAGGATAGATTAAATTCTGGCATATAAAAATGACACAATTTACTTTTAATATTTTGATTATTTTTTTTCTGTTAACTGTTCTAGTCCAGTGATTTTTTTAGTCTGTACTCACTATTTCAGAGCTAGTCACAAAGAAGAATTAGTAAATAAGCCTACTGCCAATATATTAACACTCAAAATGGGTTCCTATCTCTGCTGAATAGTATTTTGTAGAGCTACAGATCTAAAGATTCAACCCTCTGTTCACCTTTGCTGAAGTGGTTGTACATGAAATTAAGGGAACACAGTCAAAAGGGACAATTATTGGTAACTAACCTCTTCCATCAGAAGCATCGCTCAGTTTTCTGCTCGTGTGCTGACTTGAGGGATTCAACATAGTGACATAGCCACAAAAATGCTGCAAATCTACCTTGTTCCTCAGTATTTTTAAAGCCGTATGAATGCCCATGTTCACACGAGAGAAGTCTAGTAGAAAAGAATACATATTCCAGCTTACTATTTAGGAAGCCTCCTCCATAGCCATGTAGTTAATTCCTAGGCTTTTCTAAAGTGTTTTTTTAATCTGGATTTTTCTCTCTTCTACTGCTCCCATTTTAGTTATCACAAAGGTAGATCTGTGATAACACATAAGTTATCTTCCCACAACAAGCACTAACTGGTATTTTATAGTACAGTAAAAAGCTAAGGAGAAAGAAAAATGTAAAGAGAATATGGTATCTCTCTCACAGACAGACACATACAGACAGCAGAGATGGCAAGGTTCAGCTAGGAATTTTATGTCCAGCTCTTTCAGTGCCAGTCTTTTATGGCAAATTCAATACAAGATACATGTTCCATATATCAGAAATTCTCAAATATTAGAGGTTAACAGCTGAGTTAATGCTAGATTTTAGAGATTCTGCCTTTCAGATTTTTCACCTAGCACAAAGTTGGAAGAAAACAGACACCTCAGAGACAGCAAATACAGAAGTAACATTTTGAACCCAGTAAAAAACAAATTAAGAAGCTAGCTTTACTTCTAGTTGGCCCTGATTTTTCTAAGTGGCAGCTTAAATGCTTTTAGATTTCACATCTGGAAATTCATACATTTATGACGGCTCTCAGTTGGGAAGGCCATGGCCTCAACTATGCAAAGCTTGCATCCTAATAATTGAGGAGTATTTCAGAATATGTTAATTCCTGCCTTTCAAAAATCAGTTAGCTAAGCAGACTTTGAAGGAACAGGAGATTTTACTAGCAAAGCTCTTCCTGGGGAAAAAAATCTCCATAATACTTCCTAGTGCTAGTAATCTAGATGAGTTTGTTCAGTTGTCACCTGTCTTACAGTTAAGAGATGCTGAATAGAATACACAGAAGATTTATGCAGTTAATCAATATGTTAGTTAATAAGCAAGTATGCGTAAAGAAAGATTTGGAGGTTTCTGTGGAAGCTGCTTCTTTACATCTGTGCTAGGAGAAAAGAAAACACATTCTAATTAGGACAGAGAAGGCAGACAAGAGAAAACCACAGATTTAAGCTCAGAACAGATCTGTCAACCATTTAAATATACTTTCAATTTTCTCATCTAACTTGACTCATAAGTACAGGAAAATTTGTACTAAAAGGATTATTGCAACCTTACTGCACAAGTTGATGTGCAACACAATTAAATATGGTGGTGTAGATTCCATTAAAGACAGCCAGTTACCTCCCTGCTGCTCAGCTTCATCAAATGGGAAGGGTATGTGCATCGTCTCTCCCATTCCATGCATGCCATGTCCCTGAACATCAAGAAATCAAATTAGGAACAGAAAATAACAGCTTGGCTTAGTCCTACTTGTGCCCCCTCTTAAGGGGTACCGGTCAAGCTGACAAAACAAATAAGCAGATTGTTAAAGTTCTTGCTTAGTTGAAATAATTAAATAAAACACTCCATCCCTCCCCTAAAAACACAGTGAAGTTAAACTTCAGTGAAGAGGAGTAATTTTTATCTCCAATTTTAGTTACAAACAGATTTCATAATCACTGAGCACTTCTGGAGCAAAACGGATTTTGCTCTCTTAAGTTCAGAACATTTCTGAGCAGTCAAGGCTGTTACAAGTGAGCCTTTGAAAACAGGTACTTTTATGTTTGTTATAATATTAAACATCTATTTATTTGAATTATTAATTCAGAGTTCAGATTAAATGATGAAACAGAACAGGAAGATATTTTACATCTCCCAACTATACAAAACCACTCTATTTCTGCTGTTTATGATGTTTTGCTATAATTTACTGTAAAAGCTGAATACCAAGCACTCCAAAGTGCATTTCTTGAGAAACAGCTCATACTCCCAGCTACCTTCTCCCACTACTGTATGAGAAGCTTGTGGGTTTTTCATTTTCTTTCCAGTTCCGTTCATCTCCAACACTCTAAAAAATCCACATCTCATTGTTAGCTAACAAACCTCTATTATCTCCACCCATCATACCATAATGCATACATAATATGCGTTCAGTTCAAAACCAGTGTCTTCACCACCACTGAATCACAGCAGCACTGGCTACAGATGTTAGACACATTTTCAGGTCTTGGCAAAAGTGTAGCTCTCCCACACTGTTAATCTCAACTTTATCATGTAACAGCTTAAGTAAAAAAATTCTGCATGTGTTCATCATTTACATAGAGCACTCCATACCTGAATTAGAACAGCAGAATGTGTCAAAGCATCATTCAACATTGTGAGCACATTTGAAGTAGGAACTACTCCTGGGTCATGACCCCAAGATGTTATTAATAAGCGATCATAACCCTAAAAGAGAGAAATTACAAATATTCACAGTTGTAATGGACTATCCATCCATCACAGATTTCTACAGTGGACAAATGGGACGTGATCATGTCAGCCATCTTGTAAACCAGGCACATTTTACAATAAAATTGAAAGGACTGGCATCAAATACACTGGAGTTACGCTAGGACAAAAAGAGAAACATAAGTAGCATTCCTTTCTCAGAACTTAGAAAGAAAACACATAAAACTTGCTTCAAGAAAAGGCACATCATCAACAATGAATTAGTACCTCTAACTTCAACTGTTGTTGCTAAATAGTGTACAACATATCTTCCAAACATTTGGAGGGAGAATAAATCCATGTATATACTACCTGAAAAATGTCTGGAAGTTTCCGAAGACGTGTTCCTTTAGAGAGCAACAGAGAGGGTGGGCCATGTCCAGTGATGTGGTAAATATAAAGTTTGAACCAAACTGAACTGACTTCTGGTATTGCAGGTCCAATATGCTAAAGAGATATTATCCAAGAAATTAGAAAGAACTTGTTCTTTCAACTATTATAGGTAACATTTAAGAATCAATAGTTTTAAAGGAATACAAATCTAGTTTTACAGCACAGGAGTTCAATTGTATTACTCTACTACTGATGATGTTCTAGGACCTTATCCAGTATTGCAGGACTCTTCACAGAAAGGTGATAGCAAGGTATTTTCTATGAATATGAATTCAAGAATAAAATCTGTCACTTACTCTACTTGACCAGGTAAATTATTAATAAATTAAACAAACTTAATAAATTAAGTTTTCAAATTTGTCCTCAATAAACACTTTTTTTTTTTTTTTAGATTAACTGCAATACTATTCTACATGCCAATAACTGAGTCACTTTAAAAGGGACATCTAACAGATGTATCCAAAACAAAGGTATTAAGATATTTTATTTCCAGATACTAAGAGGGGAAACTCAAATATTTTTTCACCTGGGGTGTACAGCTGCTAATAGGTCGAATTTCATTGGTGAGTGGTGCCATGGAAACCAGCAGACTATAATTTTTATTGAGAACTCTGCTGCAGGTAGCTGGATCCAAGCCGAGCAAACTCTCACATCGTAAGAGGTCCAAGGGAAAGCCTATGTTGAAAATGTAAGATTTTTTTAAATTATTGCTTCTAGATGGAACATATAATGCAAAATTACTTAAGATTTTCTCTGCCTAGCCAAGAATACAGTATTTTCCATAATTAAATGTTACATTATTGGGATGAATTTTACTAAATCTGTACATAATTTTAGCAATTCTAGCCCTACAGGGTTGTCTGGCACAGAACCACAGCTTGCTCCTCACCAACTGACTGATTCAAGGTGCTCAGGAAGTTGGGTAAGATTAAAAAACAAAACAAATAATTAAAAAAAACAAACAAAACAAAACCAAAAAAGCCAACAAACTCTATCCCCACTAGAAGAATACACTCCCCTTCATGACTTGAAAAATGTTTCTTTGACAGAACACCTCTGAATAAACAATGACATATTATCGCCTACAGAAGCACATGATTTGAAACCCATCTGTTAGACAAATTCAGCTTGTCTTGCCATCATAACATCTAAAGCAATAGATTGAAGTCCAAGCCTTGGCAACAAAATCTGTCATTCAACAGGCAAACACAGAAATACAGGCTTGAAAGGTTATGAAAAATGGTGATGGAAAAGTGACGTTTTGCCCTGAAAACAGTTAAACACGCAGGATACAGATTGGTTTTTTAAATAGCAGATTAATCAGAAAGTTGAGTCCAAAGCAGATAAGTAAATAAACTCAGAAGGATGTCCTCAAGTGTTCACAGTACCATTATTTGGTTGATCAGGTTGTACAGCTTGTGCCCCTAGGTCTTTATTATGCCGCAAGAACAGAATCGTGTTCCTCAGTGTAAGCGCGTGATCGAAGTACCGCTGTGCTTCCCCTTCACCCGTGCTTTGAACCTGAACAAGAAACAAAATAAATGCATGCAAGTGGCAGGCTGTTACCAAATGCCTCAGTTATACAAAAAGGAAGATTAAAAAATTAGCATTTTTAAGCTTTTTAATTGAGTAACAAGCCTGCAGCTTATACGCAAAGGTTGCAGCAGCAACTTTTAAATGAAAAGTGAGGTTTGGCCACATCAAACAGTCAAAAAGTACAAAAAGACAACATCTAGAAATCAGAAGAACCACGACTCAGTCTTTAGGTAGAAGGATTTAAATGTCCAGTCATCCTGACTGGTACAAAACAATACAGCAATCAACAGCAGTTCTCCTACATAAGTACACAGTTGTCCTTCCGGAATTATCTTTAAAAAGGGATAAACCTTGCAGCACACAACAGTCAGGTTTTCCTAGAAAAATGATGTGCAGGCTTGGAGAAACATTAACCCCTTACTGAAAGGAAAGTGATTTTCATTGAACAAGACCTAATGCAGGTGTGTGTACACACAGACTCAGGGAAATGTAGCTCATGAATTCACTTTACCCACCAGTCTCTGCTGTGCCCCTGAAAGGCAGTTGAGGTATAAATTCTGTATGAATCATTTTAACTGAACCACTTTGCTTTGGTAGGATGAGGTGTTTGTTCCTATCATTGTGTTGCTAAATAAGCAGTTTTACACAATGAAAAAAGGTGGGGGTTGGCCCCTTCCCTTTAACACTGCCAGTGCTGAAAACGCACTTGGTCAAACATGTAACAGATTACCTTTTCCAACTCCACCAAGAAGCTGTCAAGACTCTCATCTGACAGTTTCCCAACTTCAAACATAGTGACTGCATGACTTTTCAAGTTCTGGAACCACAAAACAAAACTGTCTTAGTTCTGAATGGAATGGGCAGGTAAAAGTTTCATTAAGTAAAAACACTTCTTAACGAAAAACGATACAGGATTTTTTTTACATAATCACAGCTGTATTATATTGAAGTCAAAGTATTTTAAAAATCAACGTATTCATTCTTGCATAATACATTGAACAATTTTGACTTACTGGTGAAAGATTTCCCATCATTAAAAAGGCAGTGAGAGTAGAATCAAAGAGGAAGGCAATACGCTTTGTGTGTCCACTAGAGAGACTGAGGCTGCTCACACTGGCTGTTTCAGCTAATAGAGAACAAAAAGAAAACAGATTAACCCATTTGTTTTATTTAAAACTAAAATAATCAAGTTTAAGTCAAATCTATTACAAAAAAAGAAGAAAAACTCCAAACCGAGAACAGAATTCCCTTATCACTATGATGCCACTGATTGACTTAATTCAGATCAATTTGTATCTATGATACAGATCAGCCCCATCTTCAGAAAAGAGCTTTTTAGCTGAAGAACTTTTCACCAAGAAATACACATGACCTCCCCCACTGTATATTCCATATGAAAAAGGATACACACAATTTTTGTTTTACTTGTTTCTAGACCCCTTGAGAGGCTGTGGCAGTCTAGAAACACCATTGGTATTTCCTAATTTATTAGAATTTACTGTTCATGCTAACCTGGATCATCTTGACTGTTGGTATCTGTATCTGTGGCTGATGACCCAGCTTCCTGTATAGGACTTCTGTTTTCCCCACTGTCCCATGAAAGCAGCATCTTTTGAGGGTCCAAAGTACTCCTATTAATGTGAATTAAAATCCACATCTATCGGTCACTGTAGCACCAGAGAATTCTCTCTGCCTTCTAGTGCTAGTAGCACATGCATAGGCACACCCAGTACATGCCTTTCAATACTTCAAGCCCTAAAGCAGTCAAGCTTCATGTCCCTCAAAGTCCAGCTTTAGCTTCAGCATAGGAGTTCATTTGGGTGGCTGAAAATACCAGATTTTAAAAAAGATCTGGAAACCCAAACCACCAATGTTGAAGAAGAATCCAGTGGAAAAAATCTAATCTACTTTGTCCTCACAGTCTGAAATAGCATTAAAGACATTCAAGCATAGCACTTACTTTAAATGGTTTAATGCCTAACAATTCTTAATTGGTGCAACATGACATTCCAACTTGGAGAACCCTTTGTTGACTAGTATTAACATTGCTTCCCCAGGGTTCAATATAGACACAGGTAAGAGTATCAGTAACAGAATTGCAGGGGCACCTGACAGCAAGCAAAGTTTAACTATATACACACTGACAGCAGTGCCAAGAGACACTGTCTCTGTACTAACACAGTAACAGCTGACACTTCTGGCCTCAGAAGTTTAAATCAAATGTACACTTGCCTGCTTCAAAAGTGAACAAGTAGGCTTTTAAAGCTCAATAAGCCAGCACAAAGTAATAGCAACAGAAGTAGCACATTGGACTTACAGGTTAAACTATCACCCCTTATCCCCAGTTTAGAAAGAGGACTGAGTATTCCTGTCATTGTATACACTGTGAGATCTGTTGTTGCACAAGTCAAAGTAAGCAACCAATAGCTTTACAATCAGATTTTGGTTCTAGCTTTCTCTTCAATGAGGGAAATAAGCCTTGTGAAAGAATGGAGACACTTACTTCAGTCTGTTCACTGACGGAACATTCTTCCACGATGGATGAAGATTATCCAGGTTTATTACTTGGCCTTTTTTATGGGCAAAGCCTAACCGGCAATACATGGACACGGCATTCTGAGGAAATACACACACAATATAACACTGTTATGTGAAACCAAGTTGCAAGGCAATGAACTTTCCACATCGAGTGCAACAGATGCATTACACACACATACCTTAACTAAAGATAAGTCAATCTCTAGGACGTTTGCAAGCTAGAACAAAAAGGAAAGAAAGAAGAATCAGTATTAACAATGCAGTGTAAGTCACCACTTCTGGACTTCTACATCTTTATCATTTTTCTTTATTTTTAAACCCAGACTGTACTGGCAGAAGCAACTTTGTCTTTGTTGAAAGTGATGAAAAAAAGGGGATGAAGTCTCAAAATTGTCCCTCTTGAATGCATGCAAAAGAAACATGAGGTTAATCTTTCACTGTGTAATTTCTAGGTTAATCGTGTATCAGAAGACAAAGAGGAAAACAAACCCTGGATATAATTAATTAATACTTTTCAGGTGCTTTTTCACCAGGTTTTAAGACTAAGACCTTATGAAAACATTTTTCATTAAAATTATAAATGGTTATGCCAAAGTTAAATTCCTACATTAAGCCAACACCCTACATGTTTTCACTGCCAAAGAAAAAGAAATTATTTTATTTCACACTAGCAAAACAGACCCTGTTCCTTTTCTTGCTCATGTAACAGTCTACATTAGTCACCCCTGTGGGAATTAATTCCAGCTGATGGAATTATTCCACTGAATTGAAGATATTCCATCAAGCCTGAAGCAGTAGAAAAGTTATATTCAAGATAAAAGAAACAGGCTGGATCTTAAGCCTGGCAACACCTCTAATTAAAATCACTTGCTATTGATCCATATCTCTGCCTTAAGTGTTTTCAGCAGTGTGCTTTGGACCCTTTCCAGTTTTCCTAACTTCCTCACATGGGGTAACTTTTACTTACCTCTGCCACATTAGTGTGTTCATCTATTGAAACAAATATCTTATACAGGAGTGTTTCAAAGTAATCACCTTGCAGTCTGTTCATCACAAAACCTTCAAGTGGTGGCACTAAAAAGAATTACATAATTACATTTTGATAACTTTCTTTATTAAACTGAAAGTGCATAAAAATCAGAAAAATAAATTTATACTTATTTGGTTTCCATGGTACCTGTAATTTTGAGGATTTCCTAGTCACAAAGAGTAAAACCTAGTATACTTGGTATTTAAAATTCTCCCAACTCCTTATGAAAAGTAATGGTTGTCAATGTGTTTTCTTATCAAAACTAAAGCCACTCTACCTCACATTAGACCCTTGCAGTCTCCAGCTCATCCATTCCGGATAATTTCCAGTCATCCAACCCATTAAATGATTTTGCCATGTCGATGCAGATTAAATCATGGCTCTGATTGGAGTGGGACATAAAAAACCCAACTCACCCACACACTCCAGAGAAAATTCCCAAAGCTATTACCTAAGCAGTAACTCTCTTGTATTTAGAGGTCTTTCTCTTAACTAATCTCTACTACAGCAGTGACAGCTACTTCAAGCTCCAAACAATTTATGTCTTTGCAGATTAGACTGAATTCAGAACCCCCCTGAGACCTAGCACTGCATAATGAGATGTTCAAAGGGCAGTCACATGCTGTGCTAGTTTAAGCTCCTACATAGTCCCCAGACACAGCACATGACTACAATTGATGTACAAGACCATGAAGGATGGAACAGATATCAAAAGTTGCGTCTGTCTAGAAAACAGGAGTCCAAGACCCATGCCCTTCAGTTAAGGCAACTATGTTTCTCTATGCTATTCTTCCTTTTCATTACAGACACATGGGAGAGTACTTAGTCATTCATGTCACTACTCTTGAAAAGAATCTCACTGGCTAAAGAGGTCAACAGCATCCTGGGGTGCAGTAAAAAGAGTGTGACCAGCCAGTCCAAGGAGGTCATCCTCCCCCTCTCCTCTGCCTTACTGAGGCCATATCTGGAGTACTGTGTCCAGTTCTGGGCTCCCTGGCTCAAGACAGACAAAGAACTACCAGAGAGAGTCAAGCAGAGGGCCATAAGAAAGATTAAGGTACTGGAGCATCTCTCTTAGGAGGAAAGGCTGAGAGACCTGGGTCTGTTTAGCCTGGAAAAGACTGAGAGGGGATCTCATCAATGCTTATCAATATCTAAATAGCAGATGTCAAGATTATGGGGCCAGACTCTTTTCAGTGGTGCCCAGCAACAGGACAAGGAACAACTGGCACACACTGGAACATAGGAAGATCCATCTGAACATGGGGAAAAACTTCTTTACTTTGAGGGTAAGAGAGCACTGGAACAAGCCGCCCAGAGAGGTTGTGTCCCCCTTTAGAAACATTCAAAACCTGTCTGGATGTGATCCTGTGCCACCTGCTCTAGGTGAACCTGCTTTAGCAGGGGGGTTGGACTAGATGATCTCCAAAGATCACTCCCAACACCCACCATTCTGTGATTCTATGATTCTTATCTAAATACATCTAGAAAATAACTGAAGAATTCAAGTTGAAATAAACCCTATAGACAATAAAAATAATGTGTTAATAGAGTTAAAATAATTTAATCAGGAAAAAAATACATAGCTCAAACATTTTAAGTAAACTCATGCACACAGACAAGCATTTTCCAAGACAAATGAAACCAAGAAAACATAAGCACAATACCATTAAATATTTACTTACCTGCTATACAGCTGTCATCAGATATTGGTACATCAAGGTAAATAAATCCTTTGTTATATAAGCCTTTATAAATAAAAGCACATAATTTTATTAAAAGAGTATTTTCCAGACAACAAATTCTACAAAGTAGTATTAGCCACCTTGGAATCAGAAGTTTTCCTAATAGTCTTCACAGTGAGCACTACTTTGCAATAAACTATATCTAATATTAAACAGATGTCACCCTAAACTAGAGTTCATTACTTGCAGTCTGATGCAGTATACTTGGAGCTCTACAAGTACTTTCCTGACAGTGCTGGTGAGCACTGTATAATGACAACAGATTGAAGCAGCAACATTTGAAAAAGATCAGTGTGTCCCCTCCCTAAATATTAACTTAGTTCTCACCATCATCCCTGTACTGACAAGACGAGGAGTTTTTTTAATCCTCAATTAGTTTTGTCAGGTTTTGCCCCAGATCAGGCTGAACTTGCATACTTTGTAGCAAGGTTACAAATTATATCGCAAGTGTCTGAGGGTCCTCACATGTCCTTCCCACACATGTTCACAGAAGTCTTTTGATACAGTAAAAATAAATTCTAGGGCACTTCAGCACAAGCCATCAGGCAAGCTGCAGCAGATACAGAGGGACACTGCATACAATAAGGAAAATAATATGGCAGATTTTAAAAGACACTTGTCCCACATAAGACCATTTTAAGCACTAAGCATCTCAACCGAGTTCCGCAGAGTAGGTAAGCTAGGGAGCTTTTTAAGGAAAGGCAAAACATTCCAGCCTTGTTATCTTTAGAGTCTGAGGTTGTAACAGCAGCACTGATAGCAAAGCATAAAGCTAAATTATACAGTATAAAGTAAGGCAAATATATTGTCAGTGGTTCCTTTGACATTGCCCAATATCACTCCATCCACATCATGTTCATGACAGCAGGAAATGTACCAACAGTCCTCAGCTGGAGTGTTAAGAGACTTGTAAAAGCAAAACTGTCAGAATGCTTCCCACATAAACACAGCTCAGACTAGCTGCAGTGTGTCTGTAGGCATAAATCTATGGCAGAGATAGTAAAATTACTATCCCACTCAGATCTTAAATAAAATGCCCACAGTAGAGTAGTTAGAAAGGTACATTACGTTCCTCTAACATCAAGCCATCTATGGAGAAAGATTATTAAGTTCTTTCTGAATCAAAATTTTCTTAAGCTCTATACTGTTTCAGGTCCACTCCAGAGCTTGAATTTCACATACCTCATATGTTTTAATTTTTTTCTGCTTTACTAACAAGCAGTGGAATTCTGCCTCAATTTCTTAACAAAAATACAGTACACAGATTCCGTGGCTTGTAGTAAGCCAAGCATTCACAGATCAACCTCTCAAGGATTAGTCTGTCAGTGAAGCTGTACTCCCCTGACTAATACTATTTGTTTATATCTAATACTTGTAACACTGAAACAGGGAGACACATGCCATTTTCTATTAACAGTTGCAGACCTGAGAAACACAACAGCCTCTTAGATTCAAGCCTCTTTTTCACAGTACAACACAAAATTACAAAATACAATATTACAAAAGCTCTTCTTTGAAAAGCAAGGAGTGAAGTGTTACCACCAAGGATTACCAGCTCTGGCATTTTTAATTTGTTTCTCCTCATCTACCTCCCCTAAAATTTTTACTGACAGTTTCGAATTTAAAAATTAGTTGAATCAAACAGTAACAGAGCAACAGCTGTCAATGGCTCACTGCTGAATCGTTTACAAGATTCAGACTGTGGTGTGTACAAGCTTTAGAGTATTTTCCAACTCGTTTTACACTTCATCTTACATTCCCCTTTTATTCTTAATCTCAGACTTTACTGAGCAAGGTGTATACATAGAAAAGGAACATCCTTTAAACACTTACTGTGAACTACATTGAAGTCTAATGAACCAGCAAGCTGAGGACCTGAATCAATTATCTTATCAATAGCAGACTTCTCTGAAGTAGTACATATCTAGGCAAAAAAAAACCCAACCACATTAGTCTTCCAGAGAAGGAATTAAATCCAGATCAAATTACTAGCTGACTATAAAAAGAAACTGAGACTAGAAGTAGAATTAAGTCAACATCTGGCTGGCAGCTGGTCACCTGCAGTGCTCCTCAGGGTTCAGTTCTAGGGCAGGTCCTGTTCAAGATATGTATCAAGGACCTGGAGGCAGGAGTTGAATGCACCATTAGCAAGTTTGTTGGTAATACCAAACTGGGAGGTGCTGTTGACCCTCTTGAGAGACAAGAGGCCTTGCAGAGCAATCTAGACAGATTAGAGTCTTGTGCAATCATCAACAGGATAAAATGTAACAAGCCAAAATGCTGGATTCTGCACATAGCACAGAGTAATGTCAGACACTAGTACAGTCTGAGAGAGGAGCTGCTGGAGAACAGCCCTGCAGAAAGTGATCTGGGGGTGCTGGTGGGCAGCAGGCTTAGTCTGGATCAGCTGTGTGCCCTGGCAGGACAAACCCCATCCTGGGAGCATCAATACAGCATCAACAGCCGGTCAAAATGTGATCGTCCTGCTGTATTCAGTGTTGATGAGGCTTCACCTCGAGTACTGTGTGCAGTTCTGGGCTCCACAATACAAGAAATATGTAAGAGTCCTTGAATGTGCCCAGAGGGAGCAGCACAGGACTTTGGGTTTGTCTAGTTTGGAGAAAAGGAGGGTGAGGGAAAACCTCCTTGCTTTCTACAGCTTCCTGAGGAAGGGAAGGAAAGAGGGAGCTATTCTCTTCCAAGTCAGCTCACAAGTTTTTCATGTGCAAACAACGAAAAAAAATAACTACACACAAAGAGCAGCAACAATTCCCATATATATATAAAATAAAGTCCACGGACATTCTGATTCTAACTTTACTGCAGGCGAAGGTACAGTCAAAACTGAGCTGTCAAGGCTTCACCATGAAATTTGAGAAAGCGTATTTTATTGCTTGTTCCCTACCAAGCACACACATTAGTTACCACAGACTGGCTGACACAAAA